TTACCGACCTATCGAGAACTGAACCCGATCGGTCGTGTGATTTTCGGGTCGGCGTAGGAGGAAGATAATTTCCCAGTCCGATGCCACTTAAGTGTTGGTAGGGTATCGGTTGTGAAGCGATACACCCTGTGGGAAATTCGGAATGGAAAATGTTCAAGCGATGATAACACCGGGCCAACGCTTGACGCGTTTCGGATACACGCACTATTTTTCGAAGCGAATTCAGTAAACGGATAATCATAATAAAACTTTGAACTTGTCTTAAGTACGCGCTACAATATCCACGAATGTAGGCCCACGCAAAACTCTTCTTGGTATTTTCCCAACTGGCTGTTTTCATGTGGAACGATCTCGCTAACTACGTCGCAGATAGAATTCCGGGGGAGAGAACAAAGAATCTGGAAAAATGCATATTTATTTTATAAAATTTGTTCAATATGTTTTCCCTCGTGTTGCTTGCATAGCAAAATACGGCGAAGGTATTTGAATATGTGTGACCACATACAAAGAAGTAATTGAAATTGGAACACCACTTGAGGATCTCAAAAAGTTACTATTCGTCTTCACACGCAACATACAATTCACATTCAATGAAGAAGATTATCGCCAAATAGATGGGGTAGCAATGGGATCTCTCCTGGGTCCACTGTTCGCAGATATCTTCATGGTGAAGCTGGAGAATAACATCCTTAAACGAACAACCGATCGTTGCACATTTTACAGGCGCTATTTGGATGATATTTTGTGTTTTGTCGACGGCAGTATGAATCTATTAATACTCTTAAAAGTATTGAACTCAGCACATCCAAACACAAAGTTCACTTTAGAGAACGAAGAGAATGAGAAGATTGCGTTTCTGGACGTTCTACTAAGCCTCCGACCAAACCGAACTATCCAACGCGCCATCCATCGGAAACCATCGTGGAATAATAAATAGACTGAGGTTAAAGTGAACTTAATCTCATCATCATGAATTACACTTTGGATATTTTTATAGAAGTTGTAATTGTGAAAACGCAGTGATATCGGTACAGGTGAAAATAAGCCGACGTTTCGGTTACCGTGGGTTACCTTTATCAAAGCGATTTTACAATCGGTGGTTTGAGTAGAAAGCATCAGGTTGTTTGAAGCTTATCTTAATATTTGCTTCATAGTAAGAAATCCTCTTTTGTGTGACACTACCATTTCTCTGTTTTTTATCTCCCCCCCCCCTGTCTACGGAAAAGGGAGAGTAAACAATTGAGAGAAAATGTTTTTCAAGAGAAACTGCAACACGAGTGCGGGCAGTGGAATCCCAGGATTGTGCTGCCCGATGGATTGATAAGTAAGTGATGAACCGTCTCACTCTTAGATTTCATCCGTTTGAATTTACAGAATCGGGTGTTGCACTTGAATGGTCGCGGGTCGCTCACAGTAATTTGGCAAGAAAGTTAAAATCGAGATGTCTCGAATATTTGGGATACAACCGCATTTGTTTAGACGTAATTAGTTAACTCAATTACACTCGATATAAAACTGATCACATTCAATGACTTGTTTGTAGAATTCTGGACCTTCAACCTCATCCGGTTTCATTTGCGATTTGAAACAACTAGCAATGATGGAATCAATTGAATGCCCTATCATCCAATGCGTTATATGCCGTAGTTCGTAACTACGTATACGCTAGAAGCATATGAATATGCATTCTGACTACTTGGTTTTGCAATTTTGCCTTCAAACCCAAGTTTTCTGAATAGAACGTTCTGTGAATTATTTAGACCCCATAACGGTTTTTCAATGGTAAAGTTTGCACTGTACAGTTGATCGGTCATATTAATACACACACACACACACACACACACATATATATATATATTCATATTAAAATACTGCACAAAAAAAGAGAGAACGTACTCGTTTGTGGTGCAAAGCGGAATGAGTGAGCTTGCAAAGGTTACTTATATTAACAGCGGTTTATATCTTGAGTGGAGCTAGTTGTGATTGAGTTGATGGTTCCGGGAAGGTCTAGTTTCAAATAAAATGGCATTATCCAAAACCCGCTTTTTAGTCATATTCGGAACAAAGATAGTCCTTTTTATCCTTTCCTGTCTAAGCAAGAGCCGAATTTCTCTGTGGATCACAAGCATTTCCGTCATAAACGAACTATCGAAATTAGGGATGAATTCTGCTTTTTCACTTATTGAACACAAGACGATGGTTGTTGAAATATTTATTTGATAGACTAGGAAAAGAGAACTGAGTTATTAAAATTGCGAAGTGATCAGTAGCATCGGTAGGATTGGAACCCGAATCAAGAATGTTGATCTTTTCACAATCCAAACAAGAAGATTGTCTATCAGTAGTCTGTCAAACAACAGAAGTAAGCTAGCCTAAGAACTTCATTTGGTGGATTCCGAAGGAAACCCTGCCACGATGGTCAACTTGAATGATACTTGATAGTGGATGGTGGTTTATCCAAATGAGAAAAGATCAGTGCTATCGATTTGGCCTCGCAGTTATGCTGGGAGACCGTGCGGTGAACGAAAAGCTCGGACAATGCCCATGCGTGGGTTAAAATCTCAGAGAGGTCACTGATACTTTCACAAACCACAGGGTATCATTCTGTTCAGCGCTATTGAGGGATTTAGCCAATAGGCTACTGGAGATTACAGCATTGCATATATTGTTGTTTGCTTGCAAGTGGATTGCGATTTACCACCGATGCATGTTTGCAATTAATCGGACGATCAATTATGTTGGACACTAAAACAGTATGGTTAAATCTGAACGGGGTGTTCTGCTTCTACTCAGCTTCACGCTCTATCTGACCGATTTAGGCTCCAGCAGATTCTTTATTTGAAATCCTCAGTTATAAATAACTGTTTTTTATTCGTGAAATGATTTCGCAGGATATTGGCGGTTGGCGGTTCACAATTTGTGCTCTGACATAACATCCGTTCAGACGAGGAATGTAAGCAAGTTTGAATGCAAATTCATAAAAATCCAATTTGGCCTTTGCTCAGATTTAGGTTACGTGCGATCCGAAGAAATGGAAAAAAGTCGCAAGAAAATTCGGCTATTCGAGCAAGAAATCGAGGTTCTGCAACGGCCTCATTGTCGTATTGTGCTCAAAGGTCAAAAAAAGGTAGGTGGGTGTAAAACCAATTCGGAACGCACATAAATCTTCAAAATCATTTTTAAGGTATATGGGCTGATAACGAAATCTTTCCCCGACAAACTGCTATTTAATTAAAAGCTGTCATCAGACTCAATTACTATTAACTCTTGGAAAAATAGCAGAACAAACCAATGGACATCGGCAAGATATTGTGGTGACCGATTGATATATGTTCATATTTATAGACGGTTAGGACATCCATATAACTTTCCAATTTATATCTCAGGATGTCAATTTGGAACCGGTTGAGGATCAAATAATTGAGCGCACAAGCGAGGGCTACTTGAGATGGCTTTATCTAACAAACACTCACACAAATACCTACTATATACATGGATGGATGATACATATAAATGAGCAAGTCAGGTGGTGGTGGATTGATTCAAATAGACGAACTGTGTGACAAATAAGTGACTGTCCATACCTCTGAACAATTTGAATGTACTAAAAATGAGGAACCTTCATAAAATGTTTATGCTTTTCATCGGTATGAATTAGTAATGTTTTCCTGAACCAGGAAGAACCCGCAAAGTCACTCGGTCAAAGCACATGGATAAGCCTCCAGACAATCGTCAATCAAAATAAACGAACAACGCAGGTTTGGTAAAAAAAGAATTTCTTATGTTATCAAAGCACACCATATGATAAAAGCTAATTTGCCAACAAGGGCAATCAGAGCTGAGTCCAATAAATCTGAAGATTTCGTCAGCTTACCGGCTTGTACTTTTTCGAATGCTCTTGTTGTCATGTCCAGTCCACCCGTGCGGTGATTACACACCTACTGTACAGTCAAAGTTCACTGGGCCTGCTAAAGACTCGCGGCTGTGNATCAAAGCACACCATATGATAAAAGCTAATTTGCCAACAAGGGCAATCAGAGCTGAGTCCAATATATCTGAAGATTTCGTCAGCTTATTGTGAATTTGTTCCGGCTGGATTTTCACCATTGACGCTATAAGGATTAGCTAGGGTGCATAAATGAGACGTCCCGATACGACCCATAATTGAAATTTCAAATTATCCATATCACGTAATAGCCTATTGGATAGTAGAATTTCCAGAACCAGTACATTGTCTGGACCAACTTATTTTGCTTGCATTCGTGGAGTCCCGTTCTGCACGGACCGTCTTGGAATGCTCGGTTTTTCAGGTTCGTTATGGAACAGTTGATCTTGTTTCCACTCGTTTGTACCAAAGAACTAAAGTGGTACAAACCCATTGAAAAGTAGTGGTTACCATTAGGTGTTCTGCCATACTTCCTTCAAGACCATCGGCACAACACTGTTCGGTTCGAATGCACTGACGAGTTTTTATCACACGAACATTATTAGAGAACTATGAACGGAATTCAATGTTGGTTTGATCTTAATGTAAAGACGTGATCGATAATGGTTCATTGTGTTGGAAATTTATCGTCTTTTGTGACATTTTCTCCGAACAGTAGTTACCAAAAGTAAGGACATTTATTTGCTAAGCTACGTATTGTCTGTTCCAACCCACCAAAAAACAGTAATAAATACTATGGAATGAAGTTTCACAGAGTTTAATTTGCCACTACACTGGAACTGATCATCAATTATATAAGAAAAGCGAATATTTCGCTCCTTAATATCATATTTAACCGTTTACACAGACTAATCCAAGTTACTTTATTGTTGACTCAGTTTAAATACTCTCCGATGTTTCATTGGACTTACAGGAATTTGATTTGACAAAAAGATAAATAACCTAGATTGTTCCGTTTAAACTTTCAAAATAAAACCCTGCGTGTTCGGCAGCTTTCCATCGTCATCATTATTGTTATTCCCGAATAAAAGTCAGAACTACAAAACGATTATCGATCACTTCAAGCCAGACTAGAAGACGCTTGGAATCGACTGCATATGCCCCAGTCTCAACGAGTGTCGTTGCTCGCAAATATCTGTCTCATGGCTGATGACCGATGCGAAATGCTGATCGTCTCGCGATCAACTTGGAAATATGTAGAGCTGTGGGAACAAGCCGCTCAAGATGTAGCACAACGTGAATCCTTGATCGTTCAAGAAGCAAACCTTGAAATCGGGATTATGGATCCGAATTTGTCAGACAAATCAGGTATTTATCTTTTCAGACTTGCAAGTCTTTTGTGCACAACGGGATGCGTTCCGTTTCGCTTGGTTAATTAATCGTTGAGCGAATTTTATTTTGTCACAAGTAAATGATGCACTCCAATCGATGCGGTTGTCTGTGATGTTGATAAATGCGTAAGAGTTCATTCATTTCAGCCTACAAATAATTTGTGACAAAATCCTTAAATAATATAAACAACATACATGAAAATAGTCTATGTAATTTGTCACGTTCATGCACAATGCTTTTTCAGGACCAATAATAGTAAATATTTAATTGTTATTGCTATACGTCCATGATATGTGGCAATAGACCTTTCAACTTCAAGTGAATCCAACCAATCGCAATCCATTGGAAACCCCACGAGATTATTGTCGTTTCACCGTCAAATGTCACCAAACAAATCTAGGATGAAATGACTCAAAAACGCGTCGTTATATTACATTTCCCCTTCTCTTCATTATGCAGTAAGCTCATTGTTTCTGGTATTTGATGAATACTTTTGATTGTAATAAAATAACACTGACCTTAAAGGAGCCTTCGACTAAGTTTATCGCAAAGCTCAGATGGGTTCCCTTCTTCGAAAAGGAATGTACGCTAACTTACTGAGGTCGCTATACTCACCTCAAGTAGAGCGAGGGACTAGAAGGAATTAAGTAAGCGGTTCGTCACCAACAGCGGCGTTCGTCCAAGGTACCCTAGTTTGCGATTCCTATTCAATTTTTCGTAGACGTAGTTCGATTATCGGCGTTTACGTAGTTTAGCCCAAGCGGGATGGAGAGAACGAGTATTCTGGAGGTAAGCAGTCATGTGTTTGTTTGTTTATCAGGGATAAACCTGCAAGCTCATCGAATTCAGACTTGTAGGCTTAGCCCGTTAGGGCACGTATTGCGTATGCCTATTTGTCGTCAGCCATACCGCNCGCTTTATTCGCTGAAGCTAATAGTGAATGAATGTGTGTGCAAAATGTTCGGTGGACGACAAGCTATCGGATCAGCACAAATGGATAGGGCAAAGCCAGGTAACATGTGTGAAGTGGACACGATATGAGAAATGTTAGACAAGAATGAATGAAACAAGTGTGAAAATCTGGGAAAAAGACAGTGAATGAGGTACTGGAGAGAATGTAAAAGGTGTCATATAGGGTAATCACTCCTATGGCCATGATAACAGCAAAGCTTCCACTCTTTTCTAACTGATATGACACAATACCTAATGATCTGTTCCTGCCATACCCGGTGATTCACTAGACTGGAAACATATTGTTGAGAAAAAAATTCAGCTGACATTGAGTTGCCATTGTATGCGATTAAGCAGTGTCAGATGGTAGTTAGTGATCACAGCTCACAGGTCAACTCACACACTTCCTGAATCGTCTGTGTATCTGGTGCGGAAAGCCGACCGCTCTGTTTCGACCTTTCGCTATTCGTTCAAAAGAACTCACAGTTATTAATCACTGCAAGAGTGACTAAACGAAAGATGACAAAACACATTTGGTCTGGCTGAACGCAACAAGTTTGAGTTTTCGGTAATAGTGCGAACAAATCAACTGCCTTAATCCGCTAAAATAAATACCGGTAGGTTTATCGGTAGAAAATGCACCCTTTTCTACAGTTCAGAGCGGAATGAATATAATCCAGAAGACGCCAGTGACTACAGAGAAGTTGAGTAATCATGTGAAATGTCTACACAACCGCCCGTTCGGAGTAGAAAAAAATGCCACTGCTTTCCTTTGTGATAGGTAGCTCGTTTACACAATCTTTCATGGTAACACATACGGGAAATATACTGTAATGTGGCATCCGCGGTTCCACCAAACCTTTTCTCTTATTCGACATTCAGTATTAAGACAACCGTGGGTAGAATACTTTACCGACCTCTAATTAATACCCCATGGAGCACCCAGTTCAAAGTTATCATTGCCTGTGGGATAATTGCGGATAACTGTAACTCATTCATTACACCACCTGTCTCATTCACTAAACTATGAATGATCGCACAGATGTAACCAGTATGTGAAAAGATGCGACGGGTTGAGCAATGATACAATAAGAATAAGAACCTTTGCAATGAAGCTGAGTAGCGAAGGGAGAAGCCGCAGGTAACAGATTGTTGCCATTGACATTGTGGATTGAATGTATTAATCAACCAAGGAATGACAGAGAAAAATATGATTTCTGTTAGCTAGTGAATACGTTCAAATTTGCTCTTACTATTCAGGTGAAATACTGTTACTTCTTTCACCACTGTTAAGTATCTTATCAAGTGTGCATTACAGTGTCAGAAACACGTAAGCAATCGCATTTGATTCAAAGGAATCGGTTTTATTGTTCAAATTGTTGTTTGGTAGATTTGAAGTTTGTATGTCGATTGTGAAAAGTTCAGTAGCCTCGGTGGGATTCGAACCCACGCATGGACACCGCCTACGCTTTGTACGTGCATGCTCTACCAGCTGAGCTACGACGCCACACGATAGCACTGATCTTTTCACATTCGAATTTACCTATCCAACTTACAGAGGCATGTGGCATCCACCAGTTAGCATGTAAGCTGACTGCCCCGACAGGTTTTCCTTAGAATTCACCGGAGTCCACCGAATGAGCTTCTAAGACAAGGTTAATTGTTCAAATTATTGTTTGGCAGATGTGAAGTTTGTATACCGATTGTGAATCGGTTTTATTCGAGAGAAACTCGGCTTCAATGTAATTTGCTCATTGGGTTATTGAGGGCTTAGATTGACTCCACTGATGCAATGAACCATGCTCACATTCACGTCTGGGCATGGTGACCGACTTATCGATCCATCTTGACGTAATTCGCTTCCTTACCCGACCGACAGAGGTCACTTAACTCGGGTTCGTTCATTCGTACCTATGACGCACACTCGATCAACGATCACGAACATAACGTCCCCGGGTGGAACGGGTGTGTGCGGGAGGGGGAGCGGGAGAGAACAGCCCACCTCAACCCGGCACATTCACCTCGCTCGGTAACTCACTCAAAAAGCACTTTTGTTTGTTTGCGGAGAAGTTAGATCATTCGGAATGGACGGGGTTTAGACAGACCCGGTCCAATCGGTGACATCTGACGGTGAAACACCAATAATCTCGTGGGGTTTCCAATGGAGTGCGATTGGTTGGATTCCCTTGAAGTTACAATGGACTCGTTGAAATAGTTTAGATGTAGCCAGAATCGAGCATACATATATTCCAAGGGTTTGTGACATCTATGTGCTTCAGGCAACGTAAATTTCTGTTTCATTCATGCATGAAACAAATCACTTATTATAATGATCCACAGAAGAATATTACAGACAGACATGAGTTGTTTGAGTGCAAATCCAAGCAAATTGATTGGTTCACACTGTTGCGCTTATGGTCGTCGTTGTAACAGTCTACAATGACCAGGTTTCTCCTGATGGAGAGTGGAAAAACGCTTTCGGTTTTCCATTGTTCAGAGGAGGAGTCACTATGAAACAGAATGGCTTTTGGACGGAAAAGGTTGGTTCATATTAGCTGAAAACTGCCAATGCTGAAACTATCCCCTCCCCCAGCCCTGCACACCAAGTCTCAGTGAACTTTGACTGTTGGCAATTCGGTTCTCTTAATTTACTTTACACAGAGGCTATTGCTCAACGTGTGACCGTTGCTGAACAGAGAGGCATTCTGCAAAAGGTGAGTAGCCAAATCCGTGTTATCTTGTCTAGAGATAATGATAGAGATTTATTAATTTTGTTTTTTTTTGGTCGGAATGAATAAGTGTGAAATTCATAAAGAACTGTATAAAAC